AAGACAAACTCACTGGATAATTTGTCTTCAACATAGTCCATTTCTGTTCCTAAAAGTGTCAGCTGTGCTTTCTTTTCGATGAACACTCTGACTCCTTGGGGAAAAGAAAACATGGGTCATATAAAGCCTGTAGCCTATGGAACTTGATTCAAAGCACAGTGAACTTTAAATAGTAACCACTAACAAAATTCTACAGGAAGCTTCTGAACGGGTTTCAAAGTTGGTGACCGAACTGAACCCCTGGTTTGGATACAGACTTTGATACCTACCCGAAAAAAGAACTAAAGATATAAACTCAGTTTTAAAGTAGTTTGGATTAAACAATTATACTAATGAAAAGCAGTCAGAGCTTGACAGGTTGTGCATTCCCGCAATCCCAGTGGATTGAAGTGTGAGACAGAAAGATTGTAGTTTGAGGTTAGCATGGGCAACTTAGTGACACCCTGCTTGTCTCAAAATAAAAATTAAGAAGGCTGGTGATGTGGCTCAGAGGCAAAGGGCTTGCACAGCATGCACGAAGCCCTGAGTCTGATCCCCAGCAATGAAAAAACAAACAAACAAAAAAACCCTCCACCAGATTCCTGTCAATCTCCTATGTCCCCCACATTATATAAGGGAAGGTAGTTTTATACAAGTAAATTCCATGTCAACCGTGCAAAAAGATTATGTCTTTACTTCAATTTTTTCAATTTGCAAAATGAAAAAAATATGTGTATTCTTAGTAACTGTTTTGTAAAGATGGAGCCAATAAAAATTACAAATACCTTGTAATGGCATCTATATTCTCAACACATGGCTAAGTGTCAAATATCCAGAGGACTGTGAGAAAAATAGGACTATTTTAATAAGCCAGATCAGTACAATAGTTCTGGTTATGGGCCAAAAAATGAGTAATATTCCTTACTAATTATGTAGATAGAAGTCAACATTTTGGCAAATACAATCAGTTTAAAAAGCTTTCTTCCTGTGCCGGGCATGGTGTCGCATGTCTGTAATCCCAGCGGCTTGGGAGGCTGAGGCAAGAGGATTGTGAGTTCCAAGCAAGCCTCAGCAATTTAGGAAGGCCCCAAGGAACTCAGTGAGACCCTGTCTCTAATAAAATATAAAAGGCCCGGGGATGTGGCTCAGTAGTTAAGCAATCCTGTGTTTAATTAATTCCTGGTACCGAAGAGGGGGAAAAAAAAGCTTTCTTCTTTTCAAGAAACTGAGTCATCACCTACATATGAACTATAGGCTAAAAAAAAAAAAAAGCAGCTTTCTTCTTTACAAGAAACTTGAGTCATTTGAGTCATTACCTACATATGAACTATAGGGTCTTCTCTAAGATGAAAATCTTAAGTTTATGACATTTTCAGTCAGTCTTAAAAATGATTTAAAATATTAACAAATATCTTTCTTGAAGTCAGTTTAATTAAAAGAACACTTAAGAATCTAGACCTTGTCCCTCCATGTAGGCAAGGACTGCAAACTAGCCCAGAGCACACCTCCAATGCAGAAAACCATCATGGCAAAAATCATGAAATCATGAACACTCAAGTTCTCCCATAGTGGTAGCATTATTTATCTTCCTTTAAATAAGTTTTTATCAAATCCTTGGTTGGGAGAGTTGGTGCTAAATATATTAAAAAACAGAAAATTTTAATAAAAATTGGAAAAAAAGACTTTCTTAAAAGTATGAATTTTAAAAAGCATTACATTATTTGACATAAATGTAAAATTGTTGCTTCACACAAAAATGGTTGGTTGGTTCACTCTGAAGTTTAAAATCTTTCTGGACACAATAATGACCTTTCAGAGTTAAAACAAACAACTTACCAACTAACCTATTGGTTACTAAAAGCACAGCCTCTGGAGAGAATTGAATTGATTGGGTTCACATTTCATTAGGCCACTTACTCACTGTGTAATCATGTGTAAATTATTTAACCTCTCCATACCTCAGTTTCTTCAACAGAAAATAGGTATAATAAATAAGCAAACAAATAATAACAATAAAAGTAATAACAACAAAACCCAATGAATTAAAAACAAAAGTATAAAGGTATAACATTTAATTAGGTATCACCCTAATTAAGTTGCTAAGTATAAATCATATAACATTTAAGTTCATTAACCAATACCTAGCATACAGTGAGCACTATTTATATAATTTCTATTTCTATCATTAATTCATTCTTCACAAAGCTATTTTTTCTTTTTTTTGGTCCTGGGGATTGAACCACTAAGCTACATCCCTACCCCTTTTTATTTTTTATTCTGAGTCAGAGCCTCATGAAGTTGCTGAGGCTGGTCTTGAACTCGCAATCCTTCTGTCTTAGCTTCCTGAGTCACTGGGATTACAGGCGTGTACCACTGTGCCTGGCTACAAGGATAAAAATTTTAAGCAAAACAAAGTGTCCAGAAAAATCTGTCAAAAACTTACCATCTTGAACAACTTCTTCATCAGAATCTCCCTTTGTCTTTGTATATTCCAGAGTGTAAGAAAGGCCATTACAACCCCTAGTTCGGACACCAACTTTCACACCTACCTGAAAAAGAATTAAAAATATAAACTCAGTTTTAAAGTTGAACAGATTAAACAATCACACTAATAAAAAAATTTGGCTATTTATTACTATTATTTTCTCATAAGTTAACAATTATTAGATTTCTGGTTATAAATAGTGTCCTTGTAGGAGYAGATCATGGTGGCACATAATCCTAATTTGAAGTCAGTTTTGGCAACTTAGTAAAACCCATCTCAAAACAGAAAATAAAAGGGCTCAAGAGTAAAGTACTCCAAGGGTTCAATCCTTGGTACAAAAAACAAAATAACAAAAACCCTGTAGGAAACAGGAAATAAGAATTTGAAAAATTTTATTTCTGTATAATTATTATAACATTAGCAGGTATCCAAAAAAAAAAAAAAAAAACCAATGATGTACAAAAAACAATACAGACCAGAACCCAACCCCAGTTTTTTCCAGTCCTTGTCACATATATAATTTGAATATTTTTATTATAGTGAAATTAAAATTTATTCTATATTTAGTTGTATATACTTTTTTAAGAGAGAGAGAGAGAGAGAATTTTTTTAATATTTAATTTTTAGTTCCCGGCGGACACAACATCTTTGTTGGTATGTGGTGCTAAGGACTGAACCCTGGCTGCACACATGCCAGGCGAGCGCGCTACCGCTTGAGCCACATCCCCTGCCTCTAGTTATATATACTTAAGACATCATTTCCCCATGGAATTTACTTTCACAAATCATTTGCAAGTAATGGCCACATAATATTTCACTTAATTATTATTATTATTTATTTATTTTGCAGTGCTGGTGATCAAACCCAGGGCCTTGGCCAAGCCTGCTAGGTAAATGCTCTATCACTGAGCTGCAACCTCAGCTCTTATGTTAATTAACTGACCCTTACTACTGAACATCCAATTTAGAAATTAAAAAAAAAGAATTGTTTTGGGTTTTTTTTTTTTTTTTTTTTGGTACCAGGGATTGAACCCAGGAGAACTTAACCACTGAGCCACATCCCCAGACTTTTTTCAAATATTTTATTTAGAGACGGGTCTTGCTAAATTGCTTAGGTCCTCAATAAGTTGCTGAGGCTGGCTTTGAACTCATGATCCTCAGCCTCTCCAGCTGCTGGAATTACAGGTGTGCGCCACTATACTTGGCTAGAAATAGATATTTTTTCTTAGTATTTATTCTAAACATTTTTTTTTGTAGTTGTAGATGGACACGATACCTTTATTTTGTTTATTCAGTTTTTTATGTGGTCTGGGGATCAAACGCAGTGCCTTGTGCATGCTAGGAAAGTGCTCTACCACTGAGCCATTACCCTAGCCTAATATTTTCTTTATTGGTTCTTTTTTAGTTACACATAATATTAGGTGATATTCACTTTGATATATTCATATATGTACAAAGAAAAGTTAGGATAGATGCATTCAATTGTTCTTTTCTTCCCTTGTCTTTTTTCCCTCCCACTTAATTCCCTCTGTTTTTCCACAGCTCTTTTATTCTGATGGAATTCTACTCTGCCTTCTTTTTTCCTTAGGAAAAAAAAAAAAAAATCACCTAGCATGTATAAGGTCGTGGGTTCAATTCCAACACAAGAAGAAAAAATAGCAAAGAAAAATCACTTCTAACTAAAAAGACCAACAAAAAATATGCCAAAAATAAGGGGAAAAAAATAAAAAATAAGTGTATTTTTTAAAAGAAAGAAAACAACAAAAAAACCTGATGGCAAAGATGCCTTTTTAAACGAATGTACTTTTTAAACGAATGTACTTTCTGAATGTTCCATCTCATTCTGTGAGAAGTTCTCTGGATGTTTCCTTCTGGTTAGGATTCATTAAGTTTCATAGGCTACTACCTGGAAATTATGCAACCTCTATACAAAAGACTAAATCCTAGGGCAGACCTGTATAAATGTTTTCAAGTTTCAGAAAGCAAAGACTGTAGTCAATGCAAACATAAGATATTCAAAGAAGGTATAGTTTAGTGGTAATGTGTGCTTAGCATAATAGAGGCCCTGTGTTTGATGCCCAGTATCAAGAAAAAAAAAATTAAAAAGTGCCCAAACAGCACTTTTAAATACTAATATCTATGTTAATGCAATTTTCTAATATCAATTTATGCTCTCTGCCTTAGAGCCTGCTTTTTCATTTAAGTATACAAAGTATTATTATCTTAAGTATTATTTCACCAGTAGATCCTGATTCTCTGAATTTTATTCTCTGAAATTTTATTCACCTTCAGAGTGACAGCTTAGAAAATGTATGAGGGAATTTTACATATTCAGAATGAAAATAATAAATAATAAACTGCCAGGATTAATTTCTGAAGCACCCATCATAAATATTTGTCAATATACTGTCATATATACTATGCCATACATGCATACCCATGTTATAGTAGTGGAATTCATGGAACTCGCTTAGGTGTCTAGCAACAGATAAATGGATAAAGAAGATGTAGTATATATAAACTACATCTATATATAAAGATGTAGTATATATAAATTACATCTAAATATAAAGATGTAGTATATATAAACTACATCTATATGTAAAGATGTAGTATATATATAAACAATGGTTTTTATTTAGCCATAAAGAACTAAATTAAGTCATCTGCAAGTAAAGAGATGGAACGTGAGAGCACTTTGTTAAGTGAAATAAGCCAGACTCCAAAAATCAAGATTGTTTGTTTTCTCTTACATGTGGAAGATAGAGAGGAAAAAGAAAAAAGAAAAAAAAAGTGGGTTAAGAGGAATCTCAGGAAAATAGAAGGGAGACCAGTAAAGGAAGAGAATCAGGGGAAACAAGGGAGAGAAGGAAAGGGAAAGCAAGCACTAGAGAATGAAACTGACTAAATTATATTATGTGCATATATGAATATGTTGAAATGTGTCTCACTAATACATGTAATTATAATGCACCAATAAAAAAGTTTATAAAAACACAGCTTTAGGTAATTACAGTTGGGAAAAGGGATTGTTCATACTGTAAAGGATACCTTTTTATGTCAATAGGAATGAACATCCTTTAAATCTACAAACTGACTTCCTGTTTCAATTGGCCAATTTATAGTGTTCCAATTCAAACGGAATTGGAACACTAACATTGGTCAGCATTTATTAATTCTTAGGAGGGAAGTGCTGAGAACTCCCACTACTTTGTAATGTATAGATTGTACAAGAGAACCCAGAAATAACTCTGTAGGCTAAATATTAACTATTGACAGTTCATTTTTTGAAGTGATTGACAGTATACCATTAACCCTTAACAATGCACTACAATTAAGATGATACACACATCCCTAACTCAACAGTTCTACCTCCAGGAAACAGGTACACTATGTCATGCTTCCAGGTCCAGAACAACCTCTACTAAACAAATAGCTGTTAAATGATGTTTGTGGCAGTAATGAAGGAAAACAACCCAAATGACCCTTAATATAATGAACTGGTTAAAGAAAACAATGAATGTATAAAATACACTATACAAAGTCATGAAAGTAAGGCAGATTTTTTTCTTTCCTTTTTTTTTGGGGGGGTACTAGGGATTGAACCCCGGGAGGGCTTAACCACTGACCTTAACCTGGATCTTTGTTATTTTTTATATGAGACAGGGTTTCACTATGCTTTGGGCTTTGACACATTGCTGAGGAGGCTGGCTTTAAACTTTTGATCCTCCTGCCTCAGCCTCCCAAGCTGCTGGGATTATAGGCTTGCACTATCATGCCCAGTGGGGGAGGCAGACCTTTGCACAATGACATAGAAAGATCTTCAAGCCTATTAAGGGTAAAAAGCAATGTGTAACCATAGCACATATGGGAAATAGAGAGAGACAAGAATAATAAGAAGAGTGTAGAGCAGTGGTTTTAGTTGTCACAGAAAGAGAAGAGGGTGTTACTGGCAACTAGTAGGTAGAGGCCAGAGATGATGTCAAATATCCTAAAAACCATTCTAAAACATCAACAGTGTGAAGGCAGAGAAGTCCTGGTTTGGCCATATAAAATATTATTATCTCTTCAAGGACACTAAGAGATTGCTTTTGGAAGGAAGAATGACAATGAAGAGTCTAGAGTTGAGAGTAACTTCTTTTATACTGAATATCCCCTTCTGTATTATTTGAATTTTTAAAAATCATGTGCAGGGATGAGGGTGTAGTTCAGTGGGAGAGGGCTTGCCTAGCATAGTGAGACCTTGGGTTCAACCCCTAGCACCAGAGAAAAAAAGAAAAGAAAAAATTTCTAATTAACGAAAGCACATTGTCACAAAATATAATCATTCTGAAAAGAGAACTTTAATTTTTTAGTACATATTTGTTTGATAGGCTTTACTTACGTGCTCAGGCTTATCTTTAAGAAGCTGTTTTATCTTGTTTACTGCTGAAGGTGTCTGAAAAATGAAAATGTTATTAAGTTTTTAGCTATAAAACTAGCATTCTTGAATAGTCTTTAAAGAGTATTAAAGTCTGTCTTTAGCAAATTCATATGAAACTTTTGTTTCATTCTTGCCAAGATACTTTGTGGCTTTTATACCCAAACACATGAAGATCTGCTCAATTAAAACCTCTTTGTCAAAATTGCTAGCAACATCCTTTTAAATAGGTTAGTTCTCTCATATACTTACTGTATTATCTACTTATATTACAAATGTGATTTTCCTAGGCAGCATTTATTTTGTGCCCTTCCTGTATGCCCAGCAACAAACACACTGCCAGACACACAGAATGCCAATGAACAAAATCAAGTATCTCAGTGGAAAAGCCAACCCTCTCTGGTGCTTTTTCTATTGATTATTATTTTTTATACACACACACACACACACACACACACACATACATGTGGGGGGGAGAGAAGGAGAGTGTGTGCAAGCAAGAGAGTGCAAACTTACAATCTAATCCAAATCCATCAAAATGCACAGAAGAAAGAGTATTACCAGCATAAAAGAAACCCAAGGTATGCTTCTCAGTCACATCAAATGCTCACATAGGTTTTCAATGTGAATTAAACCAACATCTCTGGATACCTAGATGAACATAACTAGACAATGATAAAAATGTTGTTGTTTCTCAGGAAGAATAGTTTAACCTGGCTCAGTGATCCTCAACATGAGAAAAATGTGATGACCTATTCTGTGCCCTCAGGTTAGCATTACCAAACCAAACTTCTTGGGAAAGAGGCTACTGAGAAGAGTCTGTTTGGGGGCTTTTTGGTCTACTTCTTTGGTGTCCTCCAAGGCAGTTATGTTAAGCAACTTCTCTGACTCCTAGTCCCTTAACTGGTGAAATATGGATAACGGTCCCTCTTCTTTAGGATTCTAGTGAGGATAACATATTCAAATTCAGGAAAGGCATTCAGGACAGTGCTAGGCACAATAAGCTCAACTATTAATGAAGAGATGATGTATTTCCTAGTTTCTGATTTATGAGCTTCTCTAACTAGCAATGCTATACTGGTCCTTTGGTTTTTGTGAATTCCTGATGTCAATATTATGACCTACGGCTTAGTAGTAAACTGTAGCCAGGACTCAAGTTTCTACTGGGGGAAAAGACCCAAGGATTGGCCCTGGAGTATGCTGTCTGGGTTGGGGCTCGTGGTCAGATGACGAGAATGCTTAAACACAGAGTGGACCCTAGTTAGAAGGGTCATGAAGTCAATTTAGAAGGTCGATACCAGCATTTTAAAAAACAATAAAAAAGCAGATGTTAAATAAGTGAGCCATTTTAAGTTATTAATGTATGATATGTGTGTGTAAGTCTGTATTTCTTATGTTACTGTAAAAAAAGAGAGAAAAAAAATCACCATCAGCAGATGGCTTCTATTTCTCTCTCTCTTTTTTTTTTTTTGGTACTAGGGATTGAACCCAGGAGTGCTTTACCACTAAGCCACATCCCCAGCCCCTTTTTACATTTTATTTAGAGACAGGTCTTGCTATGTTGCTTAGAGCCTTGCTAAATTGCTGAGGCTGGCTTTGAACTCATGATCCTCCTGCCTCAGAATCTTGAGTTGCTGGGATTACAGGAGTGCACCACCATTCCTGGCTGGCAGATGGCTTCTAAAGGCCTTTTCCCACAGTTGTATAAGAAGAGGATCAGAGCAACAAAACACAGAGGGCATTAGAAGGAAATGCTCAAAAGCAGAATTACAGCATCTTTTTTTTTTTTTTTTGAGATGACAGAATATCAACTTTTTAGAGATATACTTATTAAAACTTTTTAAAGTGCTTGTTCACTGTTCTAAATGGATGCTAATAAAAGCAAGCTTTATTTTCCATTTGTAAATTTTTGTGGGCATATTTCCTAGGTGTGTGCTTAAGAAATTAATCTACTTCCTGTCAAATTAAAAAAAAGATATCTGTTAAAAAAAAAGGCATAACCGTGGAAAAATATTTGTTCAAACTAAAAACTGATGGGTAATTTTGGTTTAGTGTGGCTGGTAAAAGGTGCAGAGAGTCCAGGTGCTGAAGAAAACATAGGGCTCTCCTCCTCTACTAGCTCCAAGTTTTTTTTTTTTTCCTCCTTTCCATGTGATTTTCTAAATTATCAAATTTGGTTTTACAAAATTATATATTTTCTTCTTTCCTCACCTCCTAGTAGAAAACATTTAAACACAATAAAAGGAARCAAGTCACAGCAAATGGTCTATCAAAAGGTTGTTGATGTTTATATTGTATACAGAAAGGAATCAATGAGAAAGTAACATTAAAACAGGATTGTGTGCCTGGAAGCTGTATTTATAAGAACCAAAAAAAAAGAAAGAAAGAAAAAAACCATTAACTTTCCTGGGTCAGGTTTTCACCTGCTCTATTGAGGGAATGTTACTACTGATGTATAACACAGTTAACTGAGTATTCAACCAAGGGGAAAATGATGGTTCTAATAATTTTGAAGTGATTGTTTTTTTTTTTTTWA